ATCCCAGACGTGTCACTTTTGTCCCCTTTGGGCCCTGCAGGAGGGCTTGTATTTCGCAGCGGAGGCCCGGCCGGCAGCTGCGAGGCCGAGAGGCAGCTTGTGATGCTGGGAGCTCCCCGGAGCTGGAAAGGAGCTTGGGGACTGAAGGGGAGAAAGGCAGGAAGGCAGCAGAAAATGGGAATGGAAGGTGGAGGTCAGGCCCTGGCGGGGCTGCCCCTTCTCCCCTGGCAGGAGGCAGATGCACCCGATCAATGAGAGAACCTGAGAAAGGGTCCCCAGGCCTTGGTGGGAGGGAGAGAGGAGCCTCATGCGGTGTGGGGGGGGCTCATCTCCATCACTGTCTCCCTGTGGGGGTGTACTGAGCCCCCAACCCTCTGCTGGTGCAGGATTGAACCCCTGCTTTGGAAATGAGCCTGTCGCAGCAGCTGCTCGGGGTGGGTGATGGGGGGGAACACACAAGTTTTCAAGGGTGGCTGGAATATTTAAGTAGCCACGGGTGCTCAAAGACACTCTGGAGTAGAGACCAAGGGTATTGGGCTCCTCAATTTTACAGCATGTGTCAGCTCCTGCGTTGGAGGTTTTGTTCCACCTCTGAAGAGGGCTGGTCCAGCTTGTTGATGATTTCTGCAGAAAAAAAAAAGATTTCTTTAGCCAGAAAAGCAATGCCACTGCCCTAAACTCTTTGGGCAAACATCTGAGAGTGCCTGTCTTCCCAGACTCTGCCTAGAGTATGATTATCTCTGGATTATTTTTCCACAGGACCCAATATCCAGAGCCCTAGCAAAGGCAGACGAGCCCAGCCCTCAGGTGGGAGGATGCTGGCTGGGGATCTGCCTCCAAGAACCAGCCAGGCAGAGCCGCTGGATGGGGGTGCCTCTGCCCCCCGTACCAGGGACCCATTTGTAGGATCATTGGCTGCACCTCGGAGCGGGCGCTGACCTTGGAAACCCTCCCGTTGGGATGTGAACCTGGATGCTGTGTCCTGGTGTGTGACCCTGCAGGATGGCGTGTCGTTGGGGGACTAAAGTCCTCTTTAGCTCCAGAATTAGGGACTTGGGTGCAAAAGCTGTCAATGAGGTGCCAGCCCTCAGGAGACAGGGCATTTCCAGAGCCTGGTGCTCTACAGCCCTGCTTAAGCCCCGACCACAGAGAGCCCCAGGGGAAACTGAGGCCAGGAGCAATTTGAACTGAAGCATCTGAGCTGGGTGTTGTCCTGGGGCTTGGACCTGCAGAGCCCAAACTTCCAATGCTTCCAAAGCTTTTCCAAGGTGAGGTCTGTGGCTTGTGCAGGAATTAAATCCAGGGGCTGTGCATCATCCCCAAACCCATCAGTAATTCCCGTTGACTTCCAGGAGTCTTGAATCCCATTTGGGACCCGGCCCTTCTCCTGTGTCCTCACCGGGCAGAGAAAGACCTGACTTACCTTCGGTCTCTCTCCGGGCAGGTTTTATGGCCCGAAAGCCCCTACCTTGGGCTCAGCAGCTGGGGGCTGTGACCCTCATTAGCTGGGCTGGCTCACTGGTGGTGACCTTGTGATTTCTTGGGGTCGGTCCCTCTGGGGCCCTGGGCATCTGCTCAGCCTGAGGGATCTCAGGATCTCAGGGAAGGCTTTGCCCAGCATCGACCAGGGCGTTTGGGATGCGCCAGCAGCAGCAGACGGCTGTGGTATTTACTGGAGAGAGGGCATCTCATGGGTCTTGGCAGCAGAGCCGGGTCCCCCTGGATGCCAGAGCTCACTGGTAGGGGACTGTGTGGGGCTGGCGTGGCGTTCTCCCCTGTGGGGACAACCTGACGGGCTCAGGGCTGATGAGCGGGTTCTGCTCCACGTTCCTCGTGTAGGAAGGGGTTGGAGGAGAGGCCCAGGCTGGTCCTGGAGAAGGGCAAAGGCAGCTGTGGCCCTTGGGGATGAGAATACCCCTCTGTTGGAGGGCAACCCCCCCCCCCAGCCCCAGCTGGCCCCAGCCCTCTCTCCCTCCCTCCTTCCCTCCCCTCCCAGCTCCTCCTAACCACAAGGACTTTGGTTGATGGAGCTGGCGCCA